CCCCTAAAGAAAAAACCCCCCAAAAAAAAAAAAAAAAAGCAATGGGAGGCAAGATGGGGGATGGGGGAAAAGCTGCCAAAGAGAAGTCTATTGCCCAGGTCTAAGATTATAGTAGAAGGAAATGGAGAGAAAGATCTAGTCTCAGGAATTATTTAAAGGTAGCTTTAAAAAAAAAAAAACTTTGATACGCAACAAAGGGCAAATCACATCTGTATCATAGTTGGTGTGAACTGAAACTGAACTGGTTAAGTCTCTGGAGCAGTGCCTGGCACACAGTAGGCAAGTACTATGTTATAGCCATTTCTTCCCAAAAGGATTCCATTCTGCAAATAGTGCTTTTACTCCGAGCTTAGCCAATCCACTGTTGTAGGCACTCTGGGCACAAAGGTAGACAATGTCTTGGTTCTTACCATCAAGAATCTCATTGTTCAAGGCCTAGCCACTGTGGTGTAGCAGTAACATGGTGTTCTGCAAGCCTGAAATCCACATAGCAGTCTAGATTCGAATCCCTAGGGTGCCTGAAGGCACACCATGTGCACATGCACCTAGGATCCTGAACTGTAAGACTGGGAAAAGCGGATTGCAGGGTGATGAGGCCTTGTTCAGGGTCTCTATCTCTCTCTTTCTTTTTCTCTCTCTCCCTTTCCTTCCCCCTTTCTCTCTCTCACAGATAAATATACACTCATTGTGTCATAAAATATATGTACACATATATAGGATCTCATTGTTTGAGGATTGGCGGATTGGCTGCAGGGTACAATTAGCCAGTTCTGCGGTTATTTTTACTTCCCAAACCCCTGTACCTGCTGCTATTACTGTCCTTATACCTTTCGGGTTATAAGCTGTCCCATGGCAAATGTGCTTCAGCCAAGCTGAAAAACTGAACTTGGTGGTCCCTCATGGACCATGTTACATCCCACATAGCATAAGGAGGGCTGCTGCTGGCCAGCCTAGCCCATGTAAAGAGTGAGAGGCAGGATGTGTTGATGGGTATGCTTATGTTCTATTATAGACATTTAGGGAGATTTGCCTCTTTTCCCTTTGAGATAATTCTTTTTTTTTTTTTTGAGAGATTTTTTCGCTATAGGGCGCGTGTACTCGCCAGACAGACAGAGAGAGACAGAGAGACAGAAAGCGAGAAATCACCCCCCAAAAGGAATGGTCACGCCATAATCCCTTCTCCTCCATTCTCCTCTCGGGATCTTGGGCACGTACACACACGCGCCCAGCGTGAGTTTTAAGCCACCGGGTCCAGGACGCGAACTGCAGTCAACTATGTGGGAGTCCACCGACAGAGCCATCATGCTAACTGCTGGTTCCCCCCTTTGAGATAATTCTTGACAGAGAAGGAAGTAATAGATAACCCACTTGAATCTTTGTGACCATCCCATTTTTTTCTCTCTAACTTCATCCTATCTTCTCATTTTTTATGACTTCAAATGTATTATCTTAGAATCTGTGAGTTTTGTAGCAATTTATTGCATGCTATGATGGCTTCTTTGAGAGGACTTCAAAAAGTTTGTGGAAAATGGAATTAAAATTCAAGTTTATTTTGGTACAAAAATTGAAATTCATGCATAGTTATTCCATAATACACATTTTTCATGAACTTTTTAAAAAGTTTATATCATTCTTCTATGTGAGAGATACTCCATAATACACATTTTTCATGAACTTTTTAAAAAGTTTATATCATTCTTCTATGTGAGAGAGAGACAGCACACTGATCAGGAATCTGATCCTACCATCCACCCCCAGCTTTAGTTGGCCCTGTATTATGGGTACCCACATGCCCAGCATGTTCAGGGAGGTGTCAAAATGCAAACCTGGAACCTTCTCATGTAAGTCAGTCTTGCAGTGTTGTATTTTACTGTTTTGGTACTATCTGTCCTCTTACTGTGAACTTTCTCAAGGTCCCCTTCTATATCTTCTCTTACCTTCCATGACTCAGTTGCTTAACACTCCTTCACTTTGTAACTAAATGAAGACTATACTTTATAGTTGTTATAGTGGTTAATGAGCACAGCTTTTAAAAATGAAATGTTCGGAAAAAATAAAAAAGAAATGTTCAAGTGTTTCAGCACAGTGACATGAACTATAAACCATTACTTGATGCCAGAGTCCTATTTGCCTGTGTTCTTGGTAAGTGTCCAACTGTTGCAGCTGCCTGTTGTCTTCATAGATCTCCCTTGGAGAACAGCTTTCTGTACCACTCTTACATGCCTGCTTGGTTACCCAGTATTTTTTCTCCTGACATAGTTTACCTTACCTTCTTGCAGCAATCTGATGTATGGTGTTGTGAAGCTCATGAAGATTGTGGGACAACTCTCAGACAAATTTTACTATACGGATTGTCTTTTTTTTGGAGCAATTATCTCTGCCACTGACCCAGTCATTTACAAAGTTGGCCTTATCATTATGATATTTTATTATTTAAATCTTAAGACCAGAGGAATCTAAGTTTTGTTGCAGCTGGGAGACTGTTAAATTTACATGGAAGGATAGAGGAAGTGGCTATTAGAGACTTAGATGGCTTTTCTAAGAAGCCATTTTTCATTTCCCTTTTTACTACTAGTTTTTGATTGTGGTTAAAAAAAATGCACAACATAAAATTTACCATCATAGCTATTTCTAAGTGTATGTTCGGTCACTTTATGTATGTTCATACTGTTATGCAACCAATCTCCAGAACTTTTCGTCTTGTGAAATTGAAACTCTGTTCCCATTAAGCAACTCCCCATTTCCCCTTCCCCATACTCTCTGGCATCTACTCTATTTTTTGTCCCTATGAACGTTACTGTTCAAGGGACCTATCTAAATAGGATCATACAGTATTTGTCATTTTGTGACATTTTGAGACTGGCTAATGTCCTCCTGGTTTGTCCATGTTACAACATATGTCAGAATTTCCTTCCTTTTAAGGCTGAATGATATTCCATTGTATGTGTGTGCCATATTTTGTCTCTTTATTCATCTGTCAATGGACACTTGGATTGCTTCCACCTGTATTTCCCTTCTACCTTTCATTTTAGAATGGCTAATTTGGTCTTAATTTTTATACTTAGACTGCTTTCCTTCTCAGTGTTGCACTTTTGCCTTCTTTTTGGAAACATATAATTTAGTTTAAATAATACCTTTTCTTACTGAAAACACAACATAGGTACCTGCAGTGAATGTAATTTGTAAACCCCTTTTTGCAATATTCCAGTGCGAATGCACACTGTGACATGATTCCCATTCACGAACCTTTATTTTTCAAGCAGTAGTTAAACCAGTCCTTAAAAGCAGAAATATTAGATGTACCTTCTCCCCTGCAGCTCAAAACAAACAAACAAACCAAAAATCTCTCTTCTCCAAGTTGGAACCTATAATGAAATCAATTTGTATAGAGTAATTACAGTCATTCCTTTTGCTAATGAATTCATCTTTGGGCAAAATTTATGGAGAAAGAGCTGGTCTGTACTAACAGTGGAGACAGAAAGGTCTTCTCAATGTCTATGATGTCCTCTCACATACTGGACAGTAGTAATCTTAAAGATAGTATTTTAGTCCATTATGTTGCTAGTAAGAAAAAAACACCTGAAACTGAGTGTTTAGTTCTCTCAGATTTTGAGGTCCAAGATCCAGGGGCATATTTGGTGGGGGCCTTTGCAGAGTCCCAGGGAATCACATCACAGGGGTGAGAGCAGAGCAGAGAAGCTGTGTCCTTGCAATTCTTTTCTGTTCTCCTTCCCTCTCCTTATGAACCCACCAGGAGTAGATCATGGGGGCCTTGTCCTGATGACCTTAAATTTTAATCTCTTCCCAAAGGTCCCACCTTTTAGCACTGCGGTCTAATTAAGTTCTCACCCTCTTAATCCCATCACAACCAAATCTCAACACACGAATACTGGGGGGGGCGGGGGACATGCGAACCAGAGCAGATACTAAGAGTCTCCACTTGACCCTGCCTCCTGGGGGTCCTATAGGTCAGTGCTATCCACGAGATCTTTCTGTGAAGGCTGCAGTGTTCTATTATCTGCCCAGTCCTTTGAGATAGCCAGTAGCCACATGTGATTACTGAGCACTGGAAATGTGAATTAATGTAACTGAAGGACTGAATTTAAATGTTATTTAATGTTAAACAATTTCAATTTAAATAGCCACATGTGATTAGTGGCTACCACATTGAACAGCATAGTTCTAGACAGAAGTGTGGCTCTGAATGATCTCAGTGTTCCAAGAAACATTGACTTCTCTTACCTTCATATTTTATTATAAACATCTTAAGTAAATTAGTATCAAAGACTTGGCTGGTTGAAGCACCCTAATTTAGGAGAAGGTGGAATGTGTAGTAGGAGACCTTGGGGTGAGTTCTCATCTTGCCGCTCACTGATCTGGTGGCCTGGGCATAATTTATCCCCTTCTGTCAGTTTCTACTATAACATAGGAATAATGGTACCTATTTCCTAGGGCTGTTATGATAATTAAATGAAATAATACATTTAAATAATTAAATGAAACAACACATGAGCATAGCATCTAATTACGCTGATCTCTATCCACATCTGACTCAGGTAGAGATTTCTCTGTTTTCCTAAAAAAGGTAAACACATCGTAATTCAACTCAAGCATGTTTGCAAAGAGCACTCTGAAAAGTAGCTTTATTGTTTTAATTCTATGTTTTCTGTGACTGTTTACAGCTGCGTTATCTATTAAGATACAGATTGTTCAGAAGTCTGAGAAAGATGTTTAGTCTGTCTGAAAATACATTACTATCTGTATTTGCCTATAAGTTAATTACTAACTTCTTACTACTCCCACCAACAAATAAAGGGAGGTAGTGTAATATAAAAATTACTAATACCGTTTTCTGAACTATTATTTTTGCTTCATTTAATTGGATACAAAGGCTTGCTTTTTCAGATTATCTTTATAACTGTTTACTTCTCTTTAATGTGTCCCTGCTATGGTAGAAAATAACAGAAGGCATTACCATGCTACACCATTTTCTCATTTGCCCTGTGAAGATTGGCACAGTAAGAGTTTTACATAAATGGAAGTTCTAGCAAATTGAAAGTTTAAATTTATTACACATTAGGATATTTACTACCCTTTTTAAATGGAAATCTTTCTGAAATGTAGAGTGTTTTGCAAATTAGAAACATTTTAAGCCTCCTGAAAATTTTTTATTTGACATCTTGGAGCATAAAAGAGATTTTTAAAAAATGTAAGGGAAGAGTCAGAGGAGGCCATAAGACCAGATTGCCTGCTAGGGTCTGGTACACCAAACAAAAATTCTGGTATTGGGGACCAGCAGTTAGCGTAATGGCTATGTCGCTGGACTCCCATGTAGTCGACTGCGGTTCGTGTCCCAGACCCGGTGGCTTAAAACTCACGTTGGACGCGTGCGTGCGTGCCCAAGATCCCGAGAGGAGAATGGAGGAGAAGGGATTGCAGTGTGGCCATCCCCCCTGGGGGGTGATTTCTCGCTTTCTGTCTGTCTGTCTCTGTCTGCCTGGCGAGCACACGTGCCCTATAGCAAAAACCTCTCAAAAAAAAAAAAATTCTGGAATTGGACTATGAAGTGGTATTGACTGACATGAAAAAAATAAGATGTCCTTGTCCTTGATTACTGTGGCTTAAGACACCATCTTTGGTCTTCCTATTGAAGACAATACAGAATATGTGGAGTGGTGCAGGCTGCTCTGTGACCAGGAGCCTTCTCTGTTCCATGGTGATATGTCATGGGTGCTGTGGGCCATCTATGTGGACTGTTGCTTTAGATGGATCTACAACTAAGAAAAGAAAATGTATGTTTCACCCCATAGTGCCTTGCTAGGCAGCTACTACAGAAAACCGAGGGTTGTTGCTTCCTGTGAACCAAGATGAAATTATTTCCTCCAGTTTTTTTTTTTTTAAGAGATTTTTGCTATAGGGTGCACACACTCGCCAGAGACACAAAGAGAAACAGAGGGAAAGCAAGAAATCACCCCGAGTGTATTATATAAATAGAAGTTCTAGAAGGCCATCCTGAAGAGAAGGCCATACATACTATAATCCTTTCTCCTCCATTCTTCTGTCTGTATTTTGGGCATGCTCGCACACGTTCCTGTCCTGAGTTTCAGGCCATGGGTCTGGGACTCAAATAGTGGTTGACCACATGGGAGTCCAGTGCCTTAACCACTACACCACCTGTTGGTCCATCCCCAGTTTTAGTGATCACTTTTATATCCCTCAAAACAATCAGTCTTACTCACAGATTTCAGAATCTGTGATCTGGGGAACCAGCAGTTAGCATAATGGCTATGTCGCTGGACTCCCACATAGTTGACTGCGGTTCGCGTCCCGGACCCGGTGGCTTAAAACTCAAGCCAGCGCAAGTGCGTGCGTGCCCAAGATCCCGAGAGGAGAATGGAGGAGAAGGGATTGCGGCGTGACCATCCCCCCCTGGGGGGTGATTTCTCGCTTTCTGTCTCTATGTCTCTCTCTGTCTGTCTGGTGAGCGCACGCACCCTATAGTGAAAACCTCCCCCCCTCAAAAAAAAAAAAAAAAAAAAAAAAAAGAATCTGTGATCTGTTTTCCAAGGCTAATTCTCTAGTTGCATCACACAGGCCAGTCAGTCTTTTGTTCATCCTTTGAGATTTGGTTCAAATGTACCACCTGCCTCATCATTCTTCCCAGACTTCTTCATGATATATTCCCAGAGCTCTTCCTGTCTGTCATTGTTACCACATCATCATCTGGTTGTTAGACCCAAGATAGGCACATGCTTGCTCAGGAGGGCCATGGCAAAAACCTGATATATTTTGGACTGATGGACAAAGAGCAGAAGTTCAAATTCAGACCAATGCTATGTAAGTTAAGTGTCTCTTGCTATTATTATTATTATTTTTTGGAGAGGTTTTTGCTATAGGGTGTGTGCGCTTTCTAGAAAGACAGAGACAGAGAGACCGAAACTGAGAAATCACTCCCCCCCAAGGGGGATGGCCATGCCACAATTCCTTCTCCTCCATTCTCCTCTTGGGATCCTGGGCATGCATGCACACATGCCCGGCATGAATTTAAGCCACCGAATCCGGGACTTGAACCATGGTCGACTATATGGGAGACCAGCAACACAGCCATTATGCCAACTGCTGATCCCATCTATTATTATTATGTTAAGTATATCTTTATTGTCATGGATAAATGAGTTAACTATATGGGAGGGGCTTCAGAAAGTTGATGGGAAATGCATATTATTGAACACTGTCCATGGCTTTTAAGAGTTCTTTGCACCAAAACAAGTTCATATTTTAATTCCATTTTTCCATGAACCTTTTGAAGTCCCCACATTTTATTATAGTTTTACTATTGGTAACTGTAGTATCTTAGAAAAGCTGTGTTTAAAAGTCAGAAGGGCTTTCATA